CTAGAAGAAAAATAGGCAGTAAAATCTCAGACATTTCTTGTAGTAGTATTTTTTCTGATATATCTTCTCAGGCAAGGGAAACAAAAGAAAAATAAACAAATGGGACTACACCAAACTATAAAGCTTTTGTACAGCAAAGGAAACCATCAACAAAATGAAAAGACAACCCACTGAATGGGAGAACATATTCACCAATGATACATCTGGTAATGGGTTAATTTCCAAAATTTATAAAGAACTTATAAAACTTATTAAAAAATGGGCAAAGGACTTAAATAGACACTTCTCCAAAGAGGATGCACAGATGGCCAATAGACACATGAAAAGCTTTCAACGTCACTAATCATCAGAGAAATGCAAATTAAAACCACACTGAGATATCACCTCACACCTGTCAGAATGGCTGTCATCAATAAATCAACAAACAAGTGTTGGTGAGGATGTGGAAAAAAGGGAATCTCATGTGGAGAAAAGGGAACCCTTGTGCACTGTTGGTGGGAATGCAAACTGGTGCTACCAATGTGGAAAACAGTATGGAGTTTCCTCAAAAAATTAAAAATGGAACTGCATTATGACCCAGCGATTCCACTTCTGGGAATATACCCAAAGAAACCCGAAATACTAATTCAGAAGAATATATGCACCCCTATGTTCACTGCAGTGTTATTTACAATAGCCAAGATTTGGAAGCAGCCCAAGTGCCCAGCAGTAGGTGAGTGGATAAAAAAGCTGTGGTACATATATACAATGGAATACTACTGGGCTATAAAGGAAATCTTACCTTTTGCAACAGCATGGATGGACCTGGAGAGTATTATGCTGAGTGAAATAAGCCAGTCAGAGAAAAACAAATATCATATGACTTTTGTGTGGGCTCTAATGAACAAAATAAACAAACAAAATAGAAACAGACTCATAGATACAGATAACAGACTGACAGCTGTCAGTGGGGAAGAGGGTTGAGGGGCTGGGTGAAAAAGGTGAAGGGATGAAGGGAAAAAAAACAAAACATAAAAACAAAACAAAAAAAAGACAACATTATGGTGATTCCCAGAGGGAAAGCAGGGTAGGAGAAGGTGGTAGAGGGCAAAGAGGTGATAAATGATGGCAAAAAGAGACTTGACTTTGGGTGGTGACTGCACGATGCAGTACGCAGATGATGTGTTTTAGGGCTGTACACTTGAAACCTGTATGGTTTTGTTGACCAATGTCACTCCAATAAATTCAATTTAAAAAAATTTAATAAAATATGAAACAAAATAAAAATGCTTTATGGTAAGTATCTACTACAATGCAAAATTAAGCATTGATAATGAGCTTTTTTCCCTATAATTTTTCATAATCATGAATACCTGAATGCATTCTATCTATATAGCACCTTGTTTTTCAAAGCACTAAAAAAATGTTAAACTTTTTGCACAATAAAAATCTGATATTCCAATCAGAAATTCATGCAGTAAGCTGTGACTAATACAAATTAGAGTAAAAACTGAAGATTTTAAATACTGCATTACAATTTTCTATTACGCTTTTAACTTTGTGTCTCCACAGATAGCAAGGGTTTCCAACATTTTCATAATCTAATGAAAATCTCTAAAGAAAAAACTTTCCCTTAGATTCAATTCACTGTGCCTAAATTATACCATCACCAGAAAATACACACACACCAAAAAACACCCTCTCCCCCCCAAAACCTCTTATCCATTGGCTTTATAATAGTCCTCTGAGGTATTCAATCAGGGTCCTTTTTAGTTAGGTAGCTGACATTCAACTTCATCTGTAAAAGTTTTAAATTACTTTCCTCATCTTTTACTCACTGAAGAATACATATATTTACTAATACACATTCACTCAATGTAATATACCTAAAAATATATCTCTGAATAGGACCAATGATTTAATTTTTTAAAAAAAAGATAATGCAGCCTCTAGTATTAACTGCACTTATTATTAAGTCTCTAGGCATAGATGAGGGTAAACTTGAATGATTGGTTCCTCAGCAATATGTAACACTGATGAGCTAATTATATTTCCATGAATTAGCTAACTGCTTAACATGACAACATACTGTAATAGTACTTTAAAATACTTTATCTCACACAATCCTCATTTACAGTGAAAAAATGTACCATAGACCTTAAACAATTTATTCTAGGTCACACAGTCAGTGAGCAGGGCTGGAAGGATTTGAATTCACTTTTGACACACCACAAAGAGGTACATTATGAACAAGACTAGTAAATGCAATGGAGAAGCTGTGCAGTGAAGCTTGCTGAATTGAGTCAGAAAACACTACCACTAGTTATCTACACAGTCTTGGGCAGCCACTAGTTATCTACACAGTCTTGGGCAGTCATCTCTCTGGCCTATGCCTCAGTTTCCTTACTATAAAATGAAGAAGTGAAGCTACTTTGATATGCACCAATTTTTAAAAAGTTTGTGTACTAAAGGTTATAAATTCACAGTCAGAATATTAATTATGTTACTATAAATTCACAACAGCCTGATTTTCTAAAAATCTAAACTCTCGTTTTTCAGAAAATTAAATTTTATTTTAGAGGAGCCTAGATATCACTGAATCTCCTTGGGTGGCCAACCCAATCCCACTTGAACTGTTTTTGCTTTTCCCCCTTGAGACACCTCTTAGAATAACACACTCAAAAGAAACATTTTCAACTCCAAAAACATCGTTAAGATACATTTTGCTGAAGCGCTTCCTTAAAATCCTCTTTAATTACTTTGCTCTTTCCCCAAAGTTCCTCTCCCCAGGGTAGTGGCCACATTTCTCTTTTTCCTATTTCTACCAATTTTTCTGGCCACCTCTTCCACACTCTCTCAAAATCCTTTTTGCTTGTACCCAACAAAACAAATGTCCAGGAGCAGACCAAAACCCAACGAGGTTCCAGTTCATAACGGGTATCTTTAATACAGTATTTTACTGCCAACTCCTTTAACTTCTAATAAACCAATGATCTGGAAATTCTATCAGTTCAACTGATGAAGATTTTATAAAGCACCTTTCCTATCAAGTTTTCTCCCCTGCCCTGCTCCAAAGCCACTGCCAATATAATTGACAAGAGTATGCTGTATGTAATGAAAGTAATCCCATTTTGTTTCAAGTTGTAGCGTATCACATGTTCCATTAAGAGGCTAACTGGAATTACCTATGCAAACATATTAAGAAGTACACATCTCAATGATCCACCTTCCAAACGGTGTAATTTCGATTTAGACTCATTTGATTATGAAAAGAACAGTATTATTTTAGCCTACTTAGTTTCTTAAAGTTTTCAAAGTTCTTTATATATAGCATCTCAATCTTCTGTCAACAAGCAGGGCACAACTTGCCAGAAGGGAAAAACTGGATGAGGGAAAGAAAAGGAAACCCCTTATATAGTTAGAGCAAACATCTGACATGTACTCACCTAGACAATGGAATTTGGAATCTAAATTACCATAAGGATTTGCCCAGAATCAGTAATTTTGTTGTCAGCAAAAATGATAACATCATTTTTGAACTTAAGGTATAATTTGTGATTTTTCAATAAACTTATCTTGAAACAAGAACGATATTTCATAAACAATAACAAACTGTTAAGACAGCAAAGGTAAAAAACCAAGCTATGCATTAAGAAAAACAATTCTAAATTTAACACCCTAGATTACAGCAGGGAAAGCCCTCACACCACCGTTCACAAGTCTCAGTTCAAGCAATTTATTTTTGGCAAGCCAAATCACAGCTGTCAACGCTGGGGTTTTTTCCACCCCAAAATTACATGAAGTATTTAAAAAAAAAAAAAAAAGTAGACATCTTCAACTGGGGGAAAAGTAAGTTATAAATGCCGTGTGTTGTTATAAATGCTTTAAAAATAAATTTTAAAAAATCACACGGAAGGGTGTTAAAAAAAAAAAAAAAAAAAAGCAAACAAACAAACCCTGGAAGATGCAGCAGAGCCCCCTTGCTCCCGAAATAAAACTCCTGGTGGCTGTAACAGCAGCGGCAGCGCTACTCCCGACAGAAGTTTTCAGCTGTCACTTCTAACAGCTGAGCGCTTCCTAGGAGAGAAGCGACAGGCCGAGAAGAGAGGTGGTTGTGGGAGGTCTGAAGATTTAACACTGGAAATCTTACACTCGAAGGGAAACCCTTCCGCACTTCACCTGCACTTAAGGGGACGCCCAGCAAGCGCAGTCCCCCTCCCCCAACACACACACGCTACACCACTCGCGCCCCGCCACACTCAAGTCCGACAGCTGGAGGAACCGGCCACGCGCCCTTTCTGGTTCCCTCCAGAGGCTGCTCCCGGCTGCGCTCCTCTGGGGCTGGGGACGCGACCTGCACCTGCGAGCCCCGCAGCGGCCTCACACCTCGGGCCAGGTCCGCCCCGCCCGCTCCCCTGTCTCGGGCCGCGCGGCGCTTTTGCTTCTTCTGGAGACTACGCACCCCCTGGGTCCCCGCGCTCTCGGACGCGCCGGGCTTCCACGGCCCGCGCCGCCGTCACGGCCCTGTCACCTCCGGCCCCCCGGGACCCCGGGCCTCACCCCCTCCTCCAGCTCATCTTCAGAGCCCGCATCCTCTGGCTGGTCCAGGTCTATGTCAAACACTCCTGCCATGTCCTCAGCTTCCCTGTCTCGGAAGTCCGGCGCTGGGTAAAAGCCGTCCCGCCTCCGTCGTCGCCTCATGGGCCCGGACCCGCCGCAGACACCACTGCCGCTGCCGCCATCACCGGCTGCTTGGGCTCAGTGCGTCTGCGCCTAGGCCTTAGACTGGCTCCTCAAGTTCAGCGCTAGAGCATGCGCACACGGTTCGGTGAAGCCGACTGTGGGCAATGAACATGCGTAGAACTATCGCCGGGAGTCAGGTACTGGCAGAAACATGCGCAGAACCGCTGCCGAAGCCGCTGGTGGAAACTAGATCAGGCGCGTCGTCAGCTAACGCGTTTGACGGACAGTGAGCATGCGTACCGTGTCTGAAGTTCATAAATTGAAATTGAACATGCGTAATTAACCTTTATGAATAGAAAAGGGGAAAAAAATCCACAGACTACAAACCTCGTCGTTTGTGGAACATGCGCATTCGCTCCCCCTAGCTTTTTGGGTGTTGAAACTGAGCATGCGCGTAATGGCTCTCTGCAGTTGGAGCGGGACGGAAACGGCTGGTCCTGGGGCTGAGAGTGGGGTTAATGGGGACCCCCTGGGGTTCGTGGGGGAACGGAGAGGCTTGGCTTTGCTATTTACTAGGTAAGTGGCCTTGCAAAAGTCACATAACCTTTCAGAGCCTCAGTTTCCTTATCTATAAAATGAGAGGAATGATACCCAGTTTGCAGGGTAGTTTGAACATTGTAAGTACAGAGTGTGGCTCACAACCCGCTGCTCTTTGCAGCGCTGCATAGACCTGGTGCGGTATTTACCCCCCCCCCCAAACAATGTCTCTTTTTCATTGTTAAAAAATAGTGTGCTGTAGCATTTCATCTGGTCCAATTTTTCCAAGCTTCCTTGCTGTCCTATCTGAGCTAAATACAAAGTATTTCTTATCAATGTTACTGTAGTTACCGCGCCAGAAAGGTGATTGGTGGAGAGAGTCAGCCGGTATTTAGAAGAGAAAATTAATGTTAACTAAGTGTACGATTGTTGAGCTAACTTCTGCATTTTGTGTGTCCCTGGGGTGGGAAGTGTATACTGTTCATTCCTTCAACCAGCATTCATTTCGTTCTGTTTTAAATGTATGCATAGGGAAATAGCGAATACAAATCGGATTCTGGAAACCGGTGAGCTGTGTATGAGTGGATTTGGGTACAGTGAATCCGAAATCCGAAAAAACCACGAAGAGAAAAAGAACAAGTTCCTTAAACGATTGGCTCCTTAGATGACACGGCTGTTTCATCTATAACACCATATATGTACATGGCATTTTAAAAGTATGTATTTTTATTGCTGTATGTGAACACGTGGCATTTTATTTGTTCTTTATGTATTGGCAATGCAGTGGTTCTCAAAGCCTGTATTTTTCTGTTACAGGTTGCTCACTTTTTTAAGGAAACCGTTCGCGTCTCAGCATGTCAATAGTAACGGTGCAGCTTGGTCAGTGCGGCAATCAGATTGGCTTTGAAGTGTTTGATGCTTTATTTAGTGATTCATACGGTCCCCAGCAGCTCTGCTCTAAAAGAGAGAATGAGGTATATCAAGCATCTTGCAAAGAAAGGTTCTTCAGGGAGGAGGAAATTGGAGGTATGTGTAGCCCATGTCTGAACCCCATCCCTTCCCATCTTTCGAGGGAGTGATTTAGCTCTTGATCTTTTGTTTCTGTGTTAACAACCTTTGCCTTTATGGTGGCATCTTGTCCCTCCGCACACCTAAAACAACCTAAAAACAAACAAACAAACCAACAAAACTTCTCTTGACGATAGCTTTTTTCTTCTTTATTACCTCTTTGCCTTCTCCCATCTAAGAGTCTCAAAGGATAACCCTCTTTAACCAGCTATGATCTTGCTTCTGCCCTATACCACAGATGCTGCTCTAAGAAGAGTTCCCAGTGATACCTTAATCACCAAATCCAGTGACTGTTGTCTTTTCTTAATTCACTTACCTTCTCTACTGCATTTGATAACAATAACTGTAAAACTCCCTCTTTGAAACTCCTTAGAGTCTGAACTTTTCTTCTCCAGTGGTTGTATCTCAGGTTCTCCTCTGTCCTCTGTTGTATAGTTCTCTCTGTGCAATTTCAGTTTCTCTTGTAATTTGCTACATTTTTTACACGAGTTGACTCTCACATCTCTAGCCTAGCCTTGCTCCCAGGCTGCAGACTGATTAGTGAACATCTCCACTTGCATTTCCCATGTGTACCTCAAACTCAGCATCTCAATACCCAGGAGTGTTCATGATCTTTCCTTTAAAACTTGGGCTCTTCCTGCCCACATGCCATCAAACATCAAGATCTGCTTAACTTACCTCCTACATATCTCTTGAAACTCTTCTGCCCTTTCCAGCTTCACTATCGTTGCTATAGTTCTGACTCTTGTCCTCTCACCTGGACTGTTTCAAGACACTCTTTCTGAATTTCCCTCTCTAGGCTCTTGTGTCTATCACATCTGTCGTCCACACTGCTATATTAAAAAAGACATCTGATTGTTCCTCCCCTGCTTGAATATTTTCATTCCTTTCACATTGCCTAAAAGATACATTTCAAGCTTTTTAACATTGTATACAAGGACATCCAAGATCTGAGCCCCGCCTGCTTTCCATCTCCATCCATCACTTCCACCCCCTCCTTCTCCATTGTCTGCTTCAACAACCCTAAACTGCTTGCTGTGCTCACGGTATTTTGCTCCTCTGAATGTACTACTCTGTTAGTGTGGATTTGTCGTGGGTCATCACATGATACAGTGACGAAGTGTTTCACCTCTCCAGCTAGTCCTTCTAGGGCTGGATTGATGTCTTCATCTCTGTGTTCCCAGCACAGTACATGGCACACTGTAAGCACTCAAGGGATGTTTGGAGACCTCACCCAGTGATCATTTTAGCTCACACTGATTCATCCTCAGCAGAATGCTGGGCATTATGAACCACCTGCATATACCTGCTGCTGCACACCTTGATTTCTAAGCAGTATGACAAATCTTTCTATCTTCAAATTTTGGATTTGGGGTGGGGGGACTTAGAAGTTTATACTCTGTGTTAACCCAAATAAGATATATGAAATATTAATCTTTTATTTTTTTCCCTTCTTTAGTTCCAGTTGCCCGGGCTGTACTTGTTGACATGGAACCTAAAGTTATCAATCAAACACTATCAAAGGCTGCCCAGTCTGGCCGATGGAAATACGGCCAGCGTTCAGGCTTCTGTCAAAAACAAGGTTCAGGAAACAACTGGGCATATGGGTAAGAATAACTCATCATGATTTTTCAGTTTAAATACAGCTACATAGTAGATTTGTAGATAGTGTAGTTACAACTGCACAGTTGATATACCGAGCACATAATCTTGAAATTGCTATTTTAAAATTTAGGGTGTGACGTCACCCAGAAGAAACTGTCATTCTATCTCACGTGTGTCTGTGCTTCTGGCCCAGGGTTCTCCACTTCTCCTCTGTCTTTCTGCCGACTAACTTATCAGTATAATATCTTTGTCTCGCAGGTATGCCAGCTAATGGGGAATACAACGAGGCAATAGTATTCCAGGGCTCAGGGCTCAATTCAGAAATTCTGATTTATTTGATATGGGGTGAAGCCCAGATGTTGGGATTTTTCACAGCTTCCCTAGGTGATTGTAATGTGCAGAAAAGTGTGAGAACCACTGCTTTAGGAGTATTGTTATGAGTATTGAATACTATGTTATACCATAAACTTACAGAACTACCTGGTGATTGGAGTCTCCAGCTAAAGAAGTAGCTTTTAACGGACACTTTTCTGTACCTAGTCGATTCACTCTCCTAGCAGTCCTACTCTACCTGTTAAATATCTTTAACTTGTGTATTTTAAATTTTGTGCCTTTCATGAGAGTTAGTGCACTTTCATAGGTTTTAAAAGCATTCTCTACCCTCTATCTTTCTATCTACATTGCATGTCTCTGGTTAAATTGTGAGGTGTGTGTTTGTGTTTGTTCCTTTTGTGTTGCACAGTTACTCTGTTCATGGACCCAGGCATGAAGAATCTATAATGAACCTAATCCAGAAGGAAGTAGAGAAATGTGACTCTCTGGGTGGTTTTTTCATCATCATGAGTATGGCTGGAGGCACAGGGTCTGGGCTAGGAGCCTTCGTTACACGGAATTTACAAGATCGGTATTGCAGCTCTTTGAAAATGAATCACATTATATGGCCTTATGGAACTGGTGAGGTATGAACACATTAATCAAAATGTTTATATTGGCATTCTTTGGTGGTGAAATACATGTAGGCAAAATATTGATCTGACCCTTTCTTTGGAAATGCTGAGTTACTGCATCAGGAATGACTATACAATATGGTACTTGCATGAACAATTCATTTAACTTTGCTTAAACTTCTCCAAACAAATGAGGTGTCCTTGTTTCTAAAAATTCCAAAGACGACAATTGCGCATTTTCTCTCAGGAACCCATTCCTGGGTTAGTCCCTCTGGCTACAGTATATAAAGCAGGGACCTTGAGAAATCATAACATGGAGGTGAGATAAGTCACTGTAAGCAAGGATGTAGGAAGAAGGTGTGATAATAATACAGCTTATTGAACCCTTAGTATATACAGGGCACTCTTCAAGTGATTTACGTGCATCCTATCATCAACCTTCAAAATTCCAGGAGGCTGTTATAATTATTATTCCCATTTTACAAGGGTGGAAACTGAGGCATAGAGAGGTTAAATAACTTGTCCAAGGCCTAGCCGGTGTGGCTCAGTGGTTAGAGTGTCGGTTCACGGACTGAAGGGGCCCAGGTTTAATTCCGGCCAAGGGCACAGACCTCAGTTGCAGGGCGCATGGGGGAGGCAACCAATCAATGTGTCTCTCTCACATCGATGTTTCTCTCTCTCTCTCCCCCTTCCACTCTCTCTGAAAAGCAATGTAAAAAAATATCCTCGGGTGAGGATTACAAATAAATAAAATAAAAAATAACTTGTCCAAGACCATATAGCCAGAAAGCAACAGAGCCAGGATTTGATCCCAGGCAGGAAGCCCTGGGAACCCACCCTCTTAACCACTCTTCTCTCCCGCCTTCCCTATTTCTGACCTTTCTCTCTCCAGGTTATTGTTCAGAATTACAACTCCATTTTGACTCTTTCTCACTTGTACCGATCTTCGGACGCCCTCCTTGTTCATGAGAACGATGCTGTTCATAAGATCTGTGCAAAACTGATGAATATCAAGCAGATCTCCTTTAGGGATATGAACCAAGTCGTCGCCCATCAGCTGGGAAGTGTGTTCCAGCCCACGTACTCCGAGGAAGGCCCACCCCACTACAGAAGAAACCCTCTAGGTATCTGTCCTCCTGTGTGTGACTGGTAGGAACGTCTTAAGTTCTGAAAGCCTCGAAGTTACTCTTCCTTGGACCCTCTCCTCTGCCTGCAGGTATACTCGGTCTCCCTCATCTCAGAAGCCTTCACAAGGAGCCACTTAGCTCTCTGAACTGTCTTACGGAAATGATTGGGGAAGTTACTAAATGTCTCAAAAGAGGGGTGGATACCCACTGACTCTGTTCTTCAGGATTCTCTATACTTTCTCTCTCTCTGTCTCTCGCCTTTTTCAAAAACTTTGAGGTATATTTCACATACCGTACAATTCACCCATTTAAAGTGTGCAAGTCAGTGTCTTTTAGCATATCCACGAAGTTGTACAACCGTCATTTTCATCAGTCCATAAAGAAATGCACCATTCGGTTCAGTGGAGGGGCGGGGGGAGGGGGGCATCTGTAATACTTTCAACAATAAAGAAAAAATGCTGATTCAAAAGAACTGGGGAAAAAAATAATAATAGAAAATAAAGAAACCCACCATTCTCTTTTCCGCTCATTTGGCACATAGTGCCTCACCAATTCAATGCTCTAGGTCCCAACGGCTCCGTACTCTACACCGCACCCCCTTTCCCAAAGAGTTTTCTCTTTCCCTGCCCCAGTTTTCTTGGTTACCTTCTGCTGCTTTAAATTTAGCATGTTCTGAATGTATTCTTCATATTTTCCCCCGTCTGCCCCCTCCTGCCACCCCTTCCTCAGCCCTACCTCCTGGTCCGTCCCTCGGTCCTCCTCCCGGAGCGGTGCGCCAGACCTGTAGGGACCGTCCCTGCCATCTGTCTGGGTTTCCCCCCACTCCCCTGCCTCTCTGACACCGGCTCATAGTGTCAGTGTCTCTCAGCTGATGCACAAAGCAGACTAACGTCTTCCTAGGCTCCTGTTATTTCTTGGCCTAACAACAGCAGCTCGCCTCTCGCGGGCCACTCCTGTCTCGGGCGGTCCTGCAGCCGCCTCCTCCCAGCTGCCCGCCTCGCCTGCGGCGCGTCTCGCACACGCACCCCGCGGGAGCCTCCCGCGCACAGGCCCAACCCCTGCTCTCTCCCCTCATCCCGCGGCCCAGCTGCCTGCCGCCGTGACGGTTCCTTAGCCTGACCTCCGCCCTGTGCCCTGACCGCTCCCCTTCCGGCTTCATCGCCTGCTGCCGCCTCTTTTCGGATCCCCACCTGCTTTTCATCTGCCTCCGCCGTTTTCCTTCAGCCTGGCACTTTCTTGCCCCGGTCCCTTTGCTCTCTGCCCCTCTGCCCCTCACCTCTGCTGACACCTTACCCATCCTTCAGGGTCCAGTTCAAGGGGTAAGTTTTCCTTAAAGCTCTTCCACGGAGGCCTTTAGCTGGCGTAAGCTTCTGTTCTCTCTCTCAGTCCACGCGGGCTGCTGTAGCCCGTAGGCTGCGTGGCCTGCGAACAACATCAGTTTGTTTCTCACAGTTCTGATTATCATTTAACTAGATAAAAATAAATCAGTGAGCCAGGAACATTTCTAAAGGAATATTGAGGGGATACAGAATGACAGTGAAAGCATATTAATTCTCGTGCTTGCTTTGTGTTCCCGGGATTTAGCTAAATATTTCATCCATGCGTCCAGTTACTTGGCTTCTAAACTCTTTTCGGCAAAGTTTTGTTTCTCACTCATGCTAAAGTTGGTGCCAAAATGAAGCAAACACGTAGTCTTTAATAGACCGTCTCTGAGATTTTATTTACATTTTAAAATTTGAGCAACCTGGCCTTGGAGGAGAAAAGACCCAAAGACCATCAAATCGTGGTTGTGTATAGGCCAACGGGAGCAATGCGGAATTAAAAATTTAGTTAAGGTTTTTTTTTTTCTTTTTTCTTTACAGGCGACTTAATGGAGAATTTAGTGCCCCATCCTGAATTCAAGATGCTGGGCATTCGTAACATTCCTCAGATGTCTGAGCATTCCCTGGCATACAGCACGTTTACTTGGGCTGGCCTCCTCAAGCATTTGAGACAGATGCTCATTTCTAATGCGAAAATGGAAGAAGGTAAAGGGTATTTTAAAAATACATAGCCCACAGCCGGGAAGCATGCCTGTGCTGGAGTTCTCAATATAAACTGGCCGGGGCCCGTTGAAATAATGGTCCCTTCTTCTGGCCAGGGAGGCGCCTGCAAAGAACTCACCAGGACATCCCAGGAGGGCTGCTTAATCACCGCACAGTGTCATTCCCCCCCCCAAAATGTCAGATAAGTGTGACATTTATTTTTACTTACATGTTATTTTTACCAAAGTAACATATGGACAGCATTTATATAAAACAGGTAGCCAAAACTCAGCTAAGTGTATACTTATGTCCATTTTAATTTTTACAGGTTTGTATTATAAACATGAAATACTTACAGATTTTATGTTCACATACATTGCATTGTATGTATATTATATCTCAGGGGTTTTTTTAAAGCCAAGTAATTGTCCTGCATGAATTTATAATGAGAAAAAGAGCAGTCCCCTGCCTTGCACTTCCCCGCTGCCCAGCTGATGCCCTACTTTCAATGTTTTTAGCTGCGGCTTCCGGAATTTGCCTCCATATCCCTAAATATCTTGCTTATACTGTTATTTGTTATTTTCAAGGTTTAGATATTATCAAAATATATTGCCTTCCTAGTGTGAAAATTGAGGATGGAACCTTCTTACACCCCCTCTCTTGAATCTTTTAGGATTTTCTCTGTCTTTAACATTCTGGAATTCCTTAGTGTGGACCTTTGGTTTATCTCGGCAGAACGTAACTTTTGTTTTTTTGTTTTTAATCTGTCTTGTTTACTGCTTTATCTTCAGAGCCTGAAACAGTGGCCCAGCACGGAGTGTCCCTGAGGCCGGCGCCTCAGTGGCTTAGCCTTTCCCGAGCACACACCTCCGGGATGGAGGAGAGCACTCCCCCTGCTGCAGGGAGTGGGCCCGTCTGCAGCTCTCACTGCTTCTCATTCGGATTTTTAACTAATCCCCCCGCTTCTTCCCCTTTTAGAAGTGCCCGGCCTGCTTCCAGGACCTCCACTGTAGGCAGGAACTTCAGCTTTTCCTGGTTGCTAAATTAGCAGCCACTGGTTTATTTGCTTTCCAGCTTCCAAAATTTTGCTGCCATTCTCTCCTCCGCCATTCTCTTTTTCTCTTGCTCATGCCTTTTAAATAGTCCGTGTACTGTCTTGTTAGTGAGATCTGGGGGGAGAGAGGCAGTAAACTGGTCTGTTCGGTCTGTCATGTTTAACTGGAAATTACTACTATTAGTTTTGTAGCGTAGTATTATTTTACCACAAATCACAATAACTTACATTTCATTGTAATACCTTATGGGTTTTAGATTATAGTGCCTGAGGTTTGGAGATAAGTGGAGAGTTCACATCTTAAAGTAATGCTTCCTGAATTTTTTGGCCACAGTACATACCTGTTTTTCTAGCAAAACCTGTTAACATCTGAGGGAACAGGGTGTTCCTAAGGGTAGTGTAAGGTGTGCTGCGTTGAGCTTAGGTCAAGAAACCACAATTTGCTTAGTCATTTTCCTATGAGGGACTTTAGGGTGTTAACTTTTTTTTTCACAGTTATAGATAGAGCTTTTTTTAAAAAAATGAATTTATTGGGTGACATTGGTTAATAAAATTATGTAAGTTTCAGGTGCGCAATTCTATAATAGAGCTTTGAACATATAAATGTTTATGTATATAAATATATGACTATATATATATATATATATATATCACTAACAAGGTTAAAGAATACTGGTTTAAAACTCTTCATATGTTATCAGACTGCTCTATATAAAGATTGACCCCATTAATGTTGCCATCAGCAGTATATATGTTTCCACATGTCCTAGCAACCAAGAGGGAGCCAGGCAGAAGTAACAATGTCTCTCACGACCTAGCTGTGGAAGTCACACACCGTCGTTTCTGCACCATCCTTTTGGTCATTAAGGTCAGCCCTGTCCCCTGTAGGAGGGGACCACACAAGGGCCTGAATTCCAGGAGGCAGAGATCACTGGGGTTCACCTGGGAGGCTGGCTACCACTCCCTTTTAGCAGAAAGAACAACTTTTAGTTATCAAATAAAAACGTATGGAAAATACACGTTCCGTAACCCACTTCTCTCCTTGTTCAGCTTTTATAAAATCCCTTGCCTTTTTTCTCTTGGGAGGTATCGATTGGCAGGTACGGCCGCCTGTATCGGGGCGCCCTCCGCTCGGTAAAACGTCCGTCCGCAGGGAGCTCCCCTTCAACGCGTCCCTTGCCAACCTGCTGGTCCTTCGCGGGAAAGAGGCGCACGGCGCGGACCTGGGTGAGCAGAAGCGACGGTGAAAATTACCATGTACTTTTGCACATGTTCGTGGTACACATGGTTTTTTCAAATAGTCCCTGAACTTATTCTTAGAGAAAGGAAAATGGTAACTGTGTTTTTGTAGCACAGTGTAACTGAGGCCCAAACTCGAGGTGGTTTAAACAAGATACAAGTTCCATTCTTTCTCCTGAATTCGGCTGCTCCTCGGCTCTACCTCCTGGCTTCCTCCCTTTCAGCCCAAGACATCGGGAGAGCCTCAGCCATGAAATCACATAGGAAGGAGCAGAGAAGGGCGTAGACGGGGCCTGGATCACACGCCGCACCTCCCGGCAAGGCCACCCTGAGCACAGTCAGAATTTGGGTGCTCTGCTCCTAAAGAAGGGAGAACAGGTCTGTGGGACAAGTGGTCTCTGTGCCAAGCACTTTGGTACAGAATTTTGGGGAAGTTGAAAGAGCAGCTCTCTGACCGGTTTTGTGTTTCCCGTGGCAAGTCCTCACTTGGCGGTTTCAGCAGTCAGGTGGCTGCTTCTCGCTGTGATATAAAGAACACAACCTAGTCCTTAGACAAAAAGCTGGTAACAGGTAAAAAGAGACCATTTCAAGTCAATCACGGGGTATGCTTTCTTCATAGTCTTATTTTAGGTTTTCAAGTAAGAGAATTAATAGAAGGATAGATACAGCAAATGACACGGGTACACAGCGGTGTCCTTGGGTGTTCTTGCAGAGACATTCATCGCAGAATCTTTCACACTAACAAAACGGTAGCAACAACCTAAATGTCCAAACAGTAGGAACTGTTCATATTATGGTCTGGTCATATAAAGAGCCTTTAAATATGAGTGATATTTATTGAAATGGAAAGGTGGTTCACAACAGATTGGTGAATGAAAAATGCAGACTCTACCCCCTGGCTGGGTGGCTCGGTTGGTTGGAGCATCGTCCCACGTACACTGAAAGGTTGCGGGTTCGATTACCGGTCAAGGCACATACATAGGTTGCAAGCTCGATCACCAGTCGGGGCACGTATGGAAAGCAACCTATCAATGTTTTCTCACGTCAGTGTTTCTCACTCTCCCATCTTTTCTCTCTAAAATCAATAAGCATATCCTCAGGCGAGGATTTTTTTTAAATGCAGACTATAGAAGAACATATGTATAAAATTACACACACAGGGTCAGCAAAATGTCCATAGTCATGTCTGGCTGGTGGCATTTCAGCTGTTCAGTTGACTTAAACGTTTTCTTCATAATACTTTTCTGAATGGTGTGAGTTATTCATTTTTTTTTTATGATGAGTATAAATCCAAAAGCTAGTTTTATTTTTTTAATTAAACTTTTTTTTCAATATAAAGCTAGTTTTAAAAGGCAAAACAAAAGGAGATTTTTGGCGAAATGGATAAGGAAATATTCCTTTATTAATTTTTCAAAATTAATGATTTACAGTGTGAACAATGGCTTGTGTTGTTTTTCTCTAGGGGGATTTAGAGATCCAGCTCTCTACACTTCCTGGTTAGACCCGGATAATGCTTTCAGTGTGTGGAAAACCCAGCGAGCCTTTGGCAAATATGAGAAGTCTGCAGCATTGGTCAGCAACAGCCAGTTCTTAGTAAAACCACTTGATATGATTGTGGGCAAAGCATGGAATATGTTTGCTTCAAAGTAAGTAAAAGATAAATGTACAAACCTCCCTAACCTTAGGCAGATGATAAAATGTTAAAACACAAGGCAGGATCTGGAGCGTCTCAGTCTGTTTGGGCTGCTTTGACAAAAATAGCATAGACCGGGTAGCCTATAAAGAATCAGTATTTGTTTCTCACAGTTCTGGAGGCTGGAAAGTCCAAGGTTAAGGTGCTGGCAGATTGGATGTCTGGTGAAAATGTACTTTCTGGTTCACAGGGGGTATCTTTTCTCTGTGTCCTCAAATGGCAGGACAGAGGCACTTTCAAGGGCCCTAATCCCATTCCTAAGGGCCCCACCCTCCCTCCCTGATACCATCAACGTGGAGGAACACAAACATTCAATCCATAGCATGGAGTAAGCATGGCTACCACTTTGTAGGTGTGAAACTTTAGGCATGTTACTTCAGGCTTCGTTTCCTTACCTGCACAATGGGTCCAAACTGAGAAGATCTTTGGGGACGATTAAATGAGATAATCATGTCCAAACACCGAGTGCAGTGCCCGACTAGTAAATGCTCAGTCATTGCTGGATACTATTATTATTGTTGTTGTTGACTAAATTAGTTTCTAAATGAAATGAAATTAGAGTAGAAATTTCATTATAAGACAGGGACAGTAAGGTAGTTTCTAAAATCAGATCCTTGAAAGAATGGAAGAGATCCTGCACTTGCTCAGTAAGAAATATTGCACGTTCAACTCCACTTGATACTGAGAAATGTCTACTTTGTCCGTACTAAAAAATGTGTTACTGGGTCTCCTGACCTCTGCCACAATGACTGACTGTCAAAGCAAAATTCCTCAAATGATTGGACAAGCCCTCTGATTTGCTAGGATTCCCAAGCCCCCCCCTTTCTTGTACATGGGCGTGATCATTCCATAACCCCCACTCCTCAGGACCGTGACCTCTGTCGTTTCCGGGCACCCTCCTCTTCCCACTCTCAGTACATGGTAGCAGCCAACTCCTTTGAGCATTTCTCCCCCCTCAACATTTTGGGGAGTAGGGGTATTAAGGGGACCTGGCAGAACTACAAACTAAAAGTTGTCCGAAAAATACTTGGGAGGCTTCACCCCGTTCCTGGAACAAGATTAATGTCTTTCTACAGTTTTAAGCCTTAGATTAAACATCTCAGGCACTTTTTAGAGTTTCTATTGAGCCCGGTCATCTCTCGCAGGGTGTGGAGTATGTGCTGGGTGGACAACCAAATCCGAACCCGCTGCATTTCCTGTGCACCTCTAATTGTCAGTCTCTCGGACACTAAGAAGGCAGGGAGCCTGCGTGAACTTTGGAAGTTTGCTAATCTTTGGAGCCAGCATTGAATCAAATATAAGACACTTAAGAGATTCTGCCACGTTCAAATACTCATGAACTAGGAAATGCCTATGTTTGATTTTAAGAGGTATTCATTTGTCTGGGATTTTTAATTTTACATTTCCTGTTTCTTTTACCAGAGCCTATATTCATCAGTACACAAAATTTGGAATTGAAGAAGAGGACTTTTTGGACAGTTTCACGTTGTTAGAACAGGTCGTTGCCAGTTACCGCAACCTCTGATCTTGAACAGAGGGCTCAAGGGAAAAAGTACCTTACGTCGTCTTTGGACTAAAATATTTTCAATACTATTTTCACTGTACGTTTTCAAATTCTGATCTTTTAAAAGCAGCTAAATCAAATGCTGATTTCTTCTGCATACTTGCCCACAGGAGGAAAACCTTTTACATGGAGAAGAGCATGTTTTCAATGAAAACATCTACTTGGTATTTTCACTTGTAAGACAAAAAAATTGGTGCTTCTATGAAGAACGTTGGAATCGCTTTGCTGAGATGTTGGAACTCTGGAACTATCCAAAAGAGGGAATATTCTGTTTTGCCCCTACATGGCTAACTCTTCTCTCTCTATTCCAAGAAAGATTCATTAAATATGAGCTAAACTTTCACAGCACAATTTTAAGTTAAGAAATTGCAATTCTGTATTTAAATGTATTTATCTTTGAAGTGAATGCTTTGAACCACAAGAGGGAGCTGTTGTTAAATGTTACAGGGTGAACGTCTATTGACTATTTCATTCTGTAACAGGTAAGATTTTCCACTTTAAGCAGCTATTTAAAAATAAATGTTAGGATTTTGTTAATAAATATACGTCATGCTTAAATACAAAAGTAAGTGAGTAAATGTTTGCTCTGTTTGCTTTTCTTAAACGTTTTGGGCATCAGAAAATTGGGTCGGTTTTTCTTTTAGATCTTGGAATGCCAGGGCAGAAACTGATTTTATTCGACTAGTGCTTTAAACTTACTTATAGGTATTTAAAAAGATGGTTATATGCTTTTCAGTAAAAGGGGTGAGAGCTTTCACCAAAATTTCACTAAGATAAAAAATTATCACCAAGGAAATACCACACTTGATGAAATTGGCACATCCAGATGTGGGTTTCGCTCAGAAGAACAAACCACAGTTGAAAGTTGGCAACTGAGCTTGTGGGGAGTGGCGTGTTTCAATAAAGCACATCACATGCAATGCATTAACAAATGTAAAATGGGAAACAAATAGGAACATTTGCCCTTTCTGCCAAATCTACCAGTGGTGATTTATTTTTATTTGGAAAAATGACAGTTCACAGCTTTGCTGGTCCTTCCTTTCCTTTCCATATGGAAATGATTACCTTTTTGCTGTTTTTCTTATCAACTGTTGCTATGATTTAAAATACTGAACCCTATCTTATTTCTAAGGAATGTAGAAAGTGGTCTGTCTGTTCAGCAGCTAAAAGGCACACCCCTCTGCTGCATTTTGTTAACCCAAGTATGCTTGAAAAATAATTAGATCATCATTTTTACACAATAAAGTTAAAAGTATTTGTTTACAGTTGAAGAGATCCAACGACCAGAACAATTTCCTAAACTAAACCAGCATTAATAAGGATCTGTAACTGAATGATCTCACCAGGGGTTAAGCTGATTCTGAAGAGAACTTGCTAAAAGTTCAGCTTTAAAGAAAGTCGTAAGTTGAAGTCATTTTATATTTAAGAAAGTTACCATAAGGTACCATGGGGACAAGGATATTTCTCATTTGGCAACTCATGGAATCAGTGGCAGGTGAATATTAAAAGTAAACCCCAATAGACAGAGCTCTGGGTCCGCTTGCTTATGTGATTGGGCCCTTTTTATGATCCACAGCTGCATTAGTTGATATGTGTGGATACCTAAATATTTGCAAACTTGTTTTAAACACTTACATGGAAAATTTTTTTTTCTTGTCTATTTGGAATAATATAAAATCTTTGCTATTAGAGTTAGAATTTTAACTTAAAAATGAACACAAAAGGCCTGGCTGGTGTGGCTCAGCAGTTGAGCATCGACCCAGGAACCAAGGGGTCACCAGTTTGATTCCCGGTCAGGGCACATGCTGGGGTTGTGGGCTCGATCCCCAGTCGGGGGCGTGCAGGAGGCAGCTGATCGATGACTCTCTCATCATTGATGTTCCTCCCTCCCTCTCTCCCTCCCTCTCTCCCCTCTCTGAAATCAATAAAAACATTAAAAAAAAATTAACACGAAGCTGACCCCAAACTTCGAGATAAGGGGTGGCACTGCAAATATACTTTATGTGCACAAAATGGCCCATCAGCCAGGACATTAGAATCGTAACCCCCTGGGCATACAGATCAGCAGCTCTGAACATGCAGTTTCTCTGATGGGTCTCTGGAGGACTGTTTTCCCTCAGAGCCGGGAAGCACCCCTATAGGCAGCAAACGGCTCTTTGTTTCCAACCCTTCCCACTCTCCCCCACGTGTGCTTTTCTCGAGAGCTCCTCCCATTATAAAGCCTGTTTCTTCCTGCTCACTTCCTCTTACTCCTGGGGACCTTTGGGTGCTCCCCACCCAACTATCCAGCCAAGCTGCAGCATCTTTCTCCTTAACCCATCACTCAGGGCTCAGTCCGTGTGCCCACCAGTCACTGTCCTCAGCCAGTCATCTACTGGGCCCATACCCGCCCCGTGCCAGGCGCTGAACGCGATGCTAAGGTTACAGAGGTCAATCCCACAGTCTCAACAAAGACGCTTTCGGTGTAATTTCCTTCCGATGTCTGGAGCTACCATCCCAACTTCCTTATTATTGCTTATGATCTTGCCCATGCCCGTGTTCAACTTTTTTACAGGAAAGATGGGGCACACGGAGAGGACAACGCACAGGGAGCCCTGGACTCTTTGTCTGGATGTCTCCTGGCTGGCTCTGCAGAATCTCCTCCTCAGTGTACATACCAGCGATTCTTCTGCTGACCACCGTGTTTATCACACTCGAATTCCTGTCCAAAACATTTAAAAATATGCTCCACATGTTCCTATCGCATTGTCGTCTCCCCAGGAACCCAAGGTCTAGGGGCCCACGCTTTCTTGCTCGGCTACCTACCTACCTTGTCGTTTTGGGGCTTTTGGGGCAACTAAGCCGTTATTTAAGAGATATTTGCTTATCTGTATCAATCACATTGTCTCCTATGAGTTTGGGGAATGTGAACTAAGGAATCTCACTTTACATTTGTAACTAAGTCTGTCCCTGCTCCTGCACCCAGACGCGCCTCCGACGATGCGCCGTCAGCCTGCGAGTGAACAGAGTCCACTCCCACTAGCAGGGACCTTCCACACGAAGTTAAGATAAACTGGAAATGTTTCAAGCTTCTGGCGAACACAGGGTGGGGTCAGTGTGGGAGACGATGTGGCATCCGAGAGAGGAGGGAAAAGACAGACAACCCCAGTCATTTAGACTCTAGGGAGCCAGTGCAGCAGGAGGCGGCGAAAAGGAGGGTCGGGGGAGCTGATTATAACCCCAAAGAACTGCTAATAGCTCAAAAGTATTCCCAAAAAAGACTTGATAATTCTTGAATTACGGACTTCACCTAATGAACAATCTAATAGCTTACAAGGATAGTTTAAAAAGAAACAGTAAGCTAAACTACATGTCACTTAGCAAATAATTCTCATCTAAATTTATCTCCGTTGCCACTGATGCAGCCAATAAGGTGGATGCTTTTATGACTCCTGTCCTATTTGAATTTAATTACTTACATGGTGAGTACCCAAAAACCTGGGGTCTATACCCATGCAGTCCAGTAAGGCAGCCGTTAGCCACATGTGGCCAGTGCTGCTTAAGTGTAAAATACACGTGGGATTTTGAAGGCAACATGAATAAAAGAATGTAAAATATTAACATTTTGAATTAATTGTTGAAATGATATTACGGACATATTAGGTTAAATAAATTATTCAAATTGGTATACCTGTTTCTTTTTAGATTTTAAAATACAGCTACTAAAAATTTTTAAATTAGGTATATGGCTTGTGTTGTATTTCTATGGACATGGCTGGTTATCTGACATTTCAGAAGCAAAGTTCTGGGAATTACGGAAACAACTTGGACAAAGCTTGTCCTTACTGGTGAGAGAGGTCATAGGTACATGACAGTAAGAATCATGACCTAAGGCAAAAGATGGGTGCTTCCTTTTTGAAAAATAGAGGCTTTTGCTTAAAAGCTGGGCTCCTATGAACGGTATGAAAGAGGCAGGATGTGAGCTTCATTCAATAAACATCCACTGAACACCTGCAAGGAAAACCACTGTGCCAGGATAGGAGGCTTTTACAAATGAGTGCATCCTGGCGCCTGTCCTTGAGTTCACCATTTCATATATTCTTTGATGCAAAGCACATCCCTGGCTCTTGGTAGAGATTCCATATTCACTGGACAGATAAACATAAATGTCTAAAAAACAGTGGAAGAGATGGAAAGCTGCAAAACTAAAGGTACACAGTGAAGTTCACTAAAGCTCCCATATTAGCAACAAATCTCACAACTATTAGATGAAACTAAGGGCCTGGAAATAGAAATATAATTAAAAATATTTTGTCTCTGAAGCCATCTTACATAATTAAAAGCCAAACACTCTATTAAGACAGTGAAGAATTGCCTTTGTTTTGAAATCCTTACCTAAAATCTAAACAACTTGTTCTGGAATTGCAAGCCTTCTCAAGTTCGGCCACTTCCTGTCTCCACTGGTCCGGTGACATGTGCTCTAGTAGCCCAGGCAGACAGAGAGGGCCATTAAATGTTGTTACGAAAAACACATGGATTTGTCTACATGGTAATGTTTGATTCTGTTCAGTAAGGACAGGGATGAGGCCATCTATCACTGACCTGAAGACATATAGATGGGACACATGCCCCCAGTGGGCCTGCCTGCCTCTGGTGTGCCCCCTACCACCACCACCACCAGGCCCCTAAGACCAAGAAGAGGCGGCTCCGATCATTTTTGAGCAGGATTGATGGGATACACACCAGATTTCATAGCCATTTCCTTGGGGGAGGGGTCTTAGGGGATTTACTTCTTTATTATATTATGTGTTTCTTTTGTTTGCATTTTTTTTAGAAAAAACAAAGCCTTAAAAGCACAATATAAAGAAAATAACTCATGATTTTTAAAAGGATGTTAACACCTGGAGACAGTCTGAAGAATGGAGGAAGTCAAATGACTCACAAGGGGTGGAAGGAGTAAGTGGCATTGTTCTACAAACTGCCACCTAAGCAGGGTGCAGGAACCACAGGATGCTCCAGAGGAGGGAGAGATTAAAGGCTAACTCTGTGGTCTCTATATCTCAACATGTTCTTCTAATGAACACTGCCCACTATGGGAAAGACCAGTAAATGTACCACAAACACACACGCAGTCTGGGAGCAGCCTAAAAAGAAGTAGGAAAGCTTTTGTGTATGAAAGACCTTTTTGCTTCCTCCTTGCAGAGACCAGGGGTGTGCTTCATGCTCGGACAGATTCTTTACGTTTGAAAACAAGGCAGAACCTTTGAAAATTTCTTTGACCTCTGTATTTTTCTAAAAGCACTATTTTCCAGCCTCCTCGCCCCGCACCCCGACCTTGTACAAAGCACACACGCGTCCACGGGACAGGCGCGACTCCGCCCGAAGCCAGGACTAGCGGCACCGCCTCTCGCAGGGTGAGGCCGGGCGCCTGCCCGAGCGCGGGACACTCCAGGTCTGTGCCTCCCTTCTCCGCCAAGGGATTACTACACAAGCAAACCTCTTTTCCCCTGAACTCTGGGGCTCCTGGTGAGTGGTATAATTGTGGTCATATGTCATTTACTCTGAACTCCTACCCGGCCAACTTCAGTAAGGGCAACTC